TAACATTATAACATTATATAAAAAGATATTAAGAGATTAACAACATTGTTAATAAGTGTTGTTTCACGGCTTATTTGGTGAGAGTCAAAATAGTTTTTTCTGATTACTAAGTATAGTGATTTTGGAAATCATAAAATACCTCTACGTTATTGTTAGTCTGATAAGAATTGGCCTTGCTATGAGAAAAGAGGAACGGTCGAGTTTCTTGCTCGTTCTCCTCAATTCATAACTATATTTTGGAACGAGCACCTAGCTTCACTGACCTACAGACGGATGGACAAATTATTTTTTGACGTATTAAAAGTGCCTAAATATGAATTAATTCAAGTAAATGACTACACACATGGCAAGTAATAGACTTTAACTTTGGCACGTTCAAGTTACGGATAACGTGCAGTAAGTTACCTCAGTCCCGGCTCGGAGTAGGAATTAGAATAAGGTGGTTTTTAGTTGGTTAGAGTGACACCTTTTTACGCCTCACCCTGGGTGGGAGGAATAGGTAATATGATTCTGTTTCCCCCTCAAATATAAGAAAACACTGCTATTGTTTTAATAATATTTATATAGAAGATGGCGTTCCACTGGTTTCTGATTCAAATAAATAAAAGATTTTTTCAGTCAAGTGATTAAACTAATTATTCTCAGATTTTTGTTATTCAATCAATCAATCAATCAATTTATTTATACAATCCATATGGTTAGTAAAGACATATACAACTTATAAACTAGTATTAGTACATCAAACCTCATCATATAATATTAAAATAATTTGTCATAGGTAATACAATAACAATACAGACGACTTTCACTACTTCTGGGCACGGTTTGTAGGCAACACTTGCGTCTTCGTCCAGTATGTAGTAGTAGTAGTATTAGTTGCCACAAAATTGTATGACGCTGTCAAATTTTCTTATGTAACCAACTTGCCGTTATACTGTTTGTTAATACTTACTTGTGTTTTTTTTTCTTGTGGACCATTACAAAGTTGTCCCCTAACCCAACTACATATTTTAATTTTAATTTTTATGGTATTAACTTAGTCGATAAATAAAGTGCATGCTGTGATTTCCTTTAATTGAAAGAGTGTACTTACCTAACCTAAAATTTTGTATAGTCTTCATGGCATGTGCTGTGCACATCTTTTGTTGGAAATCCTATGTAATAAAATAAATTAATTAATCAGTAATGAAACACCAAAGTTTTAGAAAGACTATAAAAAACGAAGATATGACTATTGACAAGCAGGTCATCGTCGATTTGGCTATGCTAACCTATAAAAAATTATTATTTTAATTTTCAAGTCATTTTCCCCCATATCACTTCTTATTGCAATTTGAACTATTGTATAGATAACTTACAATAACAGTGCCTTTAGCCAAACGCCACTTTAGCGCTTGTCCACAGAGAGAGTAGAAATCAAAATGTATGGGGATGACACTAAAAAGTGTCAAAATTTACATCAATTCCATATAATTTGGTTTTTTATTCTACATGTAGACAAGCGCTAAGTGGCATTTGGCTGCAGCTGCTGAACAATGTAAATTAAACAGCTTATTCTAGAAATGGAACATTTTCACCAAAAAGTTTCATTAAATAATTATGGCCACAAAGAAATTTTCTGACAAAATGAAAATAATACTATGTACAAAAAAGTTATACGTACAAAAAAGCATCACATAAAACTGGCCATACAGAATGGATGCCATTAATTTCATGAAAAATCGAAAAGTATTCTCCCGCTATTTTCACGAATAATTTAAAAATAGTTTGGAATAGTTTAGTAAATAATAAATCATCATCTTAATTTTGTGACTTTAACACGTTAAACGCCATGGCAGTCACTGGTGAACGACATTAGCGGAGGATTTGCCTTCAATAGTTTTTTATTGGCAGCCAATGCCTTAAACGATAAATTAAAACAGTTTAGTTATATGATTGTGTCCATTTTAATAACAACCACAGCGACGTTACATCTATGAACTGAATTCAAAAATCTGAAATTATTGCGATAAATAAAACGCAAAATTTTAGGGATATTAATTGTATATATCGTTTTTAGTATTTGTAGTACAAGGGTTGAAGAATTAGGAAAAAAATATAGTAAATATTATGTAGTATAATAGTGTAAAAATAGTTGACCATTTTCATATTTTCAGCGACCGAAATGAACTGATGCGTGAACGAGAGAGGGACCGGGAGCGCGGCTACTTGAGTGATCACAACTCCAGGTAAAATTTATTAGATAAACGAATAAATACATGAATTCTACGAAGGGATTGGAAAAGGTGTATTTTAGTAGATAGTACACCTCTTTTACCATTAGATATGTCATATTCCTATAAACGTAAAAATGTCCTATTAATGAGAATTTTAAAAAATAGTAATTTTCCTGTCCTGGAACTAAAGTTGCGTTACACACGCAGTGCGTAGTGTTTTACGTTTTATAAATATACAACAATGGACTTAACTATTGTTTTTTACATCAAAATCAAAAAGAAGGAAATCTAGTATTGTATTGACTATACGGTGGGCTAAGTGACTGGACTACTTATTTCTATAAATACAAATACAAATACAAACATTGCTTATTCTAATTTAACGACTAAGTTTGAATTTAGTAAAAGTGTTAAGTTAAATTACAAAATTTAATATATCGGATATTATATGATTTGTTCTGTCTATTCTGTGTGTACATAAATAAATAAATAAGATGATGAAATAGTTTAAAAATAGTAAGTACGTACATAAATATTTGTATGAAACACGTACATGTATTGTACTATCAATCGTTTGTAGTAGGTGTCAATGTAGGTGTTAAAGAAGTGCCTCAGTCTCGTGGTAAGAGAGACTACTTGCCACTACGCTATGTGTTACTCATGGAATTATCCATATTTTTTAATAGTATACTAATACTTCTCTGGCAGTTTGTACTGCAGTACTAAAAAAAAGTAACTTTTATCGGTCCCGAGCCTCCGATCCCCGTTAGTCCTATCCTAGTATCTCCGTTGCAATGTGAAACAAAGACGCACTTTCATATGTTATGATAATACTAATGTTACATATGTCGTAAAATCGTCATTCTTCCCTAACCTAATGGTTACAACTAAACAAATTTTATGCACGGCTATATTAAACATCTTAGACAGATGTTTACGGCTTTTATTACCCAAAAAGAAAACAGAGATCCAGAATTGCACAAGTTAGACGAGATACTCAATTTTCTTCTACCAAATGGATTTTAAACAACGTAAATGCTCCTAAGCGTGAAACAAATAAACCTATTTAAGTTAATAATATTATAGACTGCTGATTCATTAATCAAATAACGAAAGAAAATAACAAGCCTTTCATAAACACTCTTGATTATGAGGATCTGGCTTGTTTACTGTAAACAATTTTGAGTAAGCGTGATGAGGTGTTAACTCACTGCACATACTTAATTATTTCATAATTATAATTTTCTTGAAAGTAGGAAGCTGTTTGAAGTGAATTTAATACTACCAGAGATGGATTATGGTTAAATTCCTTGTATGGTCCTATGTAAAGGCGAGATATAGGTTAGGAAGATAAATTATGTAGTTTCGCCACACAATGTTTTATATCTACACTGTACAATTTTAGCAAATCATATAATAATTTTAGACAGTAGGTACGTACCTATGTATTTATTGATACTATTAATAGTGGATTGTGGTAGCCTGGAAGTTTAAGACACCCGCATCTCATGCATGAGAATGCGGGCTCAAAACCTACCAATGGCATGTACCAATGTGACTTTTTTCGAGTTATAATATGTGTACTTTCTAAGAATGACAAACAATTATATATATGTACTTTCTAAGATTGACAATCCACTGACAAACAGTGAAGGAAAATATCGCATCGTGAGGAGGCGTATAATTTCTAATTATAAATTTGAAATTGCCAACCCGCATTTAGCAAGCGTAGTGATTAATGCTCAAACCTTGACCGTGTGAGAAGAGGCCGTTGACCAGGCTGTTGATAATGATAATGAACAGAAGTTTGTATAGTATGTTTTGTTCCAGGGACAGAGTCCGTGATCGTGATCAAGGATATCTCAGTGATCACCAGTCAAGGTCAGTATCAATAATAATTTTCAATGCATTATTTCACATTTCGGAGTACCTATGTAAACTAAGAACTTTAAATATTCTGCAACGACTGAGAATAAAAAAAATCTTTATTTCCTTGTTTATGTCCTGCAGTCGCGTATCGCAAATTATTTTTCGAAACGTATTGTTTGGTACTCGATTTCATGTTCGCTTTTGAGTATTCGACCAAAGAGATAGTTGTTAAATAATAAATATTACACTTAAAAGCAGCCCAAGGAATCACTTTGTATAGTGGTTAAAAGCCGTCTTAAAATAGCTTTCTATCACTTCTGATCATTTCTCGCAACTAGGATATGATCGATATTGAGTCTTAACTAAATTCAGAAAACGGGTAGAATATCAGTATTTTACGGAAAGAAGCTACCCTCTGGAACCCTTTAGAGCCTCAAGGGTAAGATTTGATAAGGTATTCTTTGTCGTTAGGTAAGATTTCTAAGAAAGGCTATTTGTACGAAATTATATTGAAATACTTGTGTATATACGTACTAGCTTTCAACCGCGGCTTTGACGGCGTATTCCTGTTATATCCCATGGGAGCATTCAATCAGGATAAAAATCCTATCACCTCAGTCTGCCTGTATACCAAATTTCATCAAAATCCGTTAATAATTTCATCGCGATTGACGTACAAACATCCAAACAAAGAAACTTTCACATTTAGGTATGATATTAGTGTATATTAGTGTGTAGTAGTTTTATAATGATGTACCTATGCATTGTAATAGGTACACAACTGTGGGTTGCAAAATAGCCAATGAGCAAGTAGTTTAAATAAACACAACTACATACTTTAGACTGTTCTGTTTCTGTTATGCCGGGTCCACACGCTTGGCAAACAGCAAACACGAACATATGTATGGATCAAGCGTATGGATACATCGCAAACTGTTTGCCGAACAGCCCTTGATCTGTGTTTATGTTCCCCACTGTTCGACACCGATCCCGAACTGTGGCGAATACAAACAGGAACAGGGAAACACATACAAACACCCATCCACATGTAGGTGTTTGCTGTTTGTTGTTTGCCATTGTTTCCCAAGCATATGGGCCCGCCCGCTTTAAATTTAAATTTTGAATATTAATATGAATTGGTTTACTCTGTCATGGTTGTAACTACTAAGTTAATGATACAGATACAAAATACTTATTACGAAAAAAATATGCATATTATGATAGTATTATATGTAGTACCCTTTCTTCGAAGGGATAGTTTTTACAGGATAATATGGTTTTTTTTAGCTAAGACAAGATAAAGGATTGTTGCTGTAACATTAAGATAGCTTATGTTTATTTAATATCAAGTTAGAACGGTAAAATAAGTAACGAATCGATCCGAAAGACAATAAAACCAGAAGTTTTACTCCCATATCACTTCTTATATCAAAACCATTACTAGCCAATTCTGTTATTAAATTATGAAATGGGATCTTAACCTTTGAACCCTTTCATAGTAATAATAATATAACAGAAAGTTTGTGACTATTTTAAGCTTATAATCTACGTAAAATGATTTTAGATTACAATCTAAATGTCCAGAACTGACAAGAAATATTTGACCCGTGTAAATAATTCCGTTGAGACTATTTCCATATTTAGTCAATGAATTCAAAAACATGTTTAGGTTCGCTTTAAAATAGATACTTTGCTAATACTGATATGCTTCTATCATACTTCTTGTGGGCTGATGCCGATTCGGAATCGTGGAGAACCTATCGGATTACCGGGGCTCCGGCTCGAAGTGCAGGAGAAGAAACGGGGGTGGTTTTTAGTCAGTAAGAGTCTGACACTCCCTCCCGCCTCACCCAGGCGGTAGAAGTACACACATAACATAACATCACGCCTTTTATCCTCGAAGGGGTAGGCAGAGGTGCACATTATACGACTGTACAATGTAACACCCACTTTTCACTATTTATGTTATGAGTCCCATGTAATAGGGGGTGAGCCTATTGCCATATACTGGGCACAGTTCCAGACTCCGTGCTACTACTGAGAATTTTTTTTTAAACCCAGTAATACTTTGCCCGACCCGGGAATCGAACCCGAGACCCCTTGCTCGGCAGTCGCAATTGCGACCACTCGGCCAACGAGGCAGCAAGAGAAGTAATTAGATGAAATCCCCCCCTTTAAAAAAAAATCATACTTCTTGTGTTTATACTATTACTTTCCAATGCCATAACTAATAGGAAACAAATTTACTTTGAAAGCAAATTAGTTATCGTATTTAACAAGCTGAGCCTTCCCTTCAGACTGTCAAGGAACCTCTGAAATAATTGTGGCAAATAAAACAGGTCTATCTATACAGATAAATAAAATTGGAATGTCTGTTTGTAATATTGAAATAACCGCTTTTTACTACATGCATACGAATATACGATACATATACTAAAATAACACTTTTAAAAATGTTTGTCTAAGTCTGTCTATCTGTTTGTACTGGCTAATCTCTGAAATTGCTAGACCGATTATGACGGGACTTTTTAACAGGTAGGTAATATATCAATGAGTAAAATAGGCTTTTATTTTGAGAAAACGCAGACAAAGGTGGGTTCAGCTAGTTGCAAATATAATTGGATTTATTATCAATAACTACTCCAATTTTCGTCATTCACTCGTGCACACGAATATCTCATATGAATATTATAATAGGTACTTATATAAGATACATTAACATTTACACGATTTATTTGTTGTGGGACAGGACTGACAGTGATCACTAACAATTTCAGTAATTGAAATATGCTATTATAATGTAAATACATGTGTCTATGTAACAGTTACCGATGTACTTATAATTAAATTTATTTGAATCCAATTAAGTTTCGCAAATATTGTACGAACAATTTTCACTAATGAAATGTTAACATTAAAAACATGCACTTCAAATAATATTGATTCGTAAATTAATTGGATTTTGTTCTGGGTACAATTCAAACAAATATAATTTTGAGAGTACTTTTGTATTGGTTCAGTAAAAATAAATTCGTGTTTCATGATACGCTCATTATATATTTGTTGTGTCATAGTTTTGAGACTGAATAACGTTTAAACATGAAAGTACGTTTTGGTGCTAAATTTAATAGCATGTGGTTGGATTTACATCAATCTACATAAGTAAAAAATAATTTCTATCTTCTTGATCGTCGCATCACGTGTGCCTGTTCAATCAATTTCACTGATTATTTTATCTTGTCTTATATATAAAAATGAAACCCGTTCCTGTTGTCACGCCATAACTTGAGAACGGCTAGACCGATTTGGCTGAATTTTTTTTTTGTTGTGTTTGTTATTGTCAGGAGAAGGTTCTTACGATAGAAAAAGTCCTGAAACTCCTACGGGAACGGGAGAAAACGGGACTCCGCGTACGAAGTCGCGGGCAGAAGCTAGTTTAGAGTAAATTTTTCAAAATACATTACGTACGGTACTGTTATGAAATATGGTACATACTTGCAATAAGCTCTAAGTTTGCGACGCAAGTGCTCATAGCAACAATTTTTTGTTATGATAAATTGGCAAACAGAAGCCCCTTCAATGCTGGGGCGGGCCGCTAGTTCGCAACCCAAATTAAATCAAAACAAATGGCATGTTAGTGACGTCATTCAAACGTTTTTCTTGTGATTCTATTCATATCAATTTTTATGTGAAACAGAAACTGGTTGCAAATTGTGAATATGATGTCTATGAAAAAAGTTGAAAGACTGCCCCGTTGGCCGAGTGGTCGCAAGTGCGACTACCGGGCAAAGGGTCTCGGGTTTGATTCCCGGGTTGGGCAAAGTATTACTGGATTTTTTTTTAAATTCTCACTAGTAGCACGGAGTCTGGAACTTTACCCTGTATATAAATAGTGAAAAGTGATAAATTCGAGGATAAAAAGGCGTGATGTTATGATGTTATGTTATGAAAAAAGTCAGAAAACATTTAGTGTACCTAAAGGTAAATTAGCATACCTACATACATTACAATGGCGTTTTATTAAAATATGTACTTACCGGGTTCACTAATCTTAATAATACGATTTTATGAATTTTCATGTGTAAGTTAAGACAAAGATATTTTGTCTATACCACCCTATATTCTTCGTCTCCGTCTATAACTACGCTGATGGTATCCAATACTATTTTCTCATACGATGAAAAGCCGCTTAGTGATAAGCGAAAAGCTACTTACTTGGTGGCTTGACCTTGCATTATGAAATAATTTATTACCCTTTTTATACGGCACAAATTGAGAACATTCTTTATAAAAAGATACCTTCCCCAATTTTAATGGAGTTTCAATTTCAATATCGACCTAATTTTAAAGAATTCATAAGGTATAACATAAGTCAATAATATCTAGCGAAGTGAAATCTGTGGTATTAAACTACTGCCTTGACAACAACTAAGGACTATTGCCGTTGTACGAATAAAATTTGGAAGTCCGAAATAGTAGCATACCTACAATTTGGATCGCAATCAATAAAAGATTTCATGCACTATTAGACGACAATGATCCAGGGTAACTGGAATAATTGACGGCGTATTTTGCTTCCATTAATTGGCCAATTAATGAAACCGTCAAAAGTATCTGTATTTAAATTAGAATCCAATTAAACGATCCGCATCGGGAGTGTTAAAGTAGGTCAATTAATGTTTTCGGAATGGTTAAATTGTACGAATTCACTGAAAATGATACCAAACTCAAAAGGAATTCAGATGAGTTTATTTTTTCAAATAAAATTATTATACCTCGGGTTGTCAGGTCATCCTCTGCTGTCCGATGCAGGTATGAATAACATTTTTAAAAGTTTGCGGTCTATAAATCCTCTATATAGAGGTATGTATATAACATGCAGCTTTATTCTTTAAGCTTGATGTTATAAATAGGATTTCTGTAGAGTTTCATGCTATAAAATACAGAAATTATAGTAGTGGATATTGGAATCGTTCCGCTGGGGATATAAGTGGAAGTAATGTTGTTGCTTGATACAGTTATCATCATTATTATCATATTTTTCCATTTTCCCCTATCAGATTTCACAACAGCATACACTTCCTTATGTCTGAAATTATTCGTTACATAATAACATAACTTTTATTTTAATGCGTATATACTTATGTAAATGCTAGTATACCTACAATTTATCGTGCATCACGCTAATATGCGTAAAAGTTTCTTTGTTTGTCCATGAATTACGCTGTAACTACTGAATGGCTTTTGATGAAATTTGGTATAAAAGCAGGCTGACTTAGGTGATAGGATACTTTTTATTCCAATTAAGTGCTCCCATGGGATAAAACAGGAATCATATTTTACGCAGACAAAGTTGCGGGCAACAGCTAATAGTTTATAAGAGGTAGTTCCTGTTCTAGAAACATAATGTTTAAAGGTATGATATTACAAACATACAGAAAGGGGCGTAAAAAATATGTATGAATTACATTTGGTACCTACATCTGGCAAAATCCTTAATAATTACTCTTACATTTGTGGGTGTATACGGTTACACTTTCCGTATATTATATTTTAGCTACGAATTCCTCGGGAAACCGTAAAAAAAACTATTCTAAGAAAATGAGTAGGTAGTCATTGTATGTGTCTGAAAGAAAAGTCACTCATGAGGAACGATCTAAACCCACGATACCTATTCATAGGCTACACAATAAGTTGTGTAAATTTGTTGACTTTATGGGCGATAAGTATAATGTTTTTATCACTCCTTTGTTAGTTGATTGGTCATAAGACTGAAAACAGTTAGACTTAGAGTTTTAGTTTTCGATAACTATCAGATAGTATACAAAACTAGTGGCCTGGTATGTGTTTCGCAATGTTTATTACGAAATTAAAAAAAAGGTTATCGGAACTACAAATTCATTTATCCATATAAAAATAATAAAAATGTTTAATGTGACAACAAATTCCCCATCTCAAAAAAGTTTTAATAAAAAATGATCCGCCATTTATTGAATTCATTTATTACAAAAAATGTGATACAATAAATGTGTATGAAAAAATTTGATACCTAGAACCACTAGACAGATTTTAAGCAAACTTCTCATAAACAAAGAATAAAGCCTAAAAATTTGGTGTGGATAGGTGAGCCCATTTTTGAGTTATAAAGTAACAACGAAAAGTGGCATTGTTTTTTATATATACGGAATACAAAGTAGCTTATGACGCGGAATGGCAGGCTTGGAATGAATAACTCCTGGTATGTTCTAGACTCTACTACTACTATGAGACTAACTGGGTAATTAAAATGGATGCTATATTCTATTCAGGTAATATAATACTTATTCTATATTATGTACACATCAGTTTACTAAAGTAATTAAATACTATATGAAATTAAATACAAGGGATATTGACATTGTCGTTAAGCCGGTTTCCGATACGATTAGGTCATTTGTTATAAGGGTTGATGATAGATAGTGATATGACAGCCCGTTATGTAAAGGATTAATTCTGATTGGATGAAATGGTGACAGGAACGGCTTGAGCCTCCCAGGTACCTATCTTGAAATCAAAATGTACCTCCTCGTATATGAAATTAAATAATTAAATAACGTCACTTAAAATAATAAAATTAATGACGGATTTATATTTTTGATTAAAGATGTAAAAAGTGATTTAAACGAAAAATAGTATAAGTTCAGTATTTCAAAATGAAGTACACAAAATAAAGAGACACGTTCGTGTAACATACAATAAAATTCAGATTTTGTAGTGACATTACATTTTTTACGAATAAGTTAATGGACACAGCAGTATTCAACAGCCGTCTGCGACCGCTAAGCCGACACAAAACAGACAGAAGTAGGACCTTTGTTCTAAAAAAATCTTTTAATGCCACTAGTGTTTTTGTTACCGAAAAGAAAATTCAACGAATATCTCATGGAAGACACGGATTTCTTATTGTGTTTTTCAAGAACCTCATTATAATACAAACGCTTTGCATCTTTGAGAAAATAATCAACACTTCTTCAACAAAAACAGACTGCTTCTGTTATATTTAAGGAACACGACGCTACCACTTGGTTAAGAAGCTTCACGATGTATTGAACTAATATTTTATTCGAGAATTAATTTGTCTAAACGCAGTATAATAGCGTAAGCCTATTGCCAGAGATTTAGTAATATGTCTTCATAAGCATCGAGGTATCTAAACGGATTAAGGAGATTCATTCCGAAAACAATAATGCTCAGTAGAATACAAGGAATTCCCGAAATCGAGATACGAAATTGTACGTGTTTACGATACATTTACAGAGATAACGATTTCGATTCATCCCTCGCTCAACCACTTAGCAAAGGGCTTTACTTGAAAAATAACAATAGTTAGCGCGAAGAAAAATATCTCTTACAAAATGGTCAGCCTTTCCTGCTACTCTCTCACATAAAAATATATAGCAAAGATGAACTTAATGGAACTAACGATCTACCTATTACTACCAATGTGTATCATTATTAAAATAATTTAGATTTGACTTGTGATAATATTTTTTTCCCGATTACTTTCACCGATCACAATGCTAGTAGATTTATTCTCCTAGATGAAATTTACAGTAACGCAGGTGTACAGAACATTTTATCAGTTATTTTATAATAACCCTTTGAGTACCGTCATTATAGACACAATCAAAGAACAATAGGTGTGCGGACACCGGTGACCGCAACCTATTGTTCTTTAATGTGTCTATTTTGACGGTACTCTAGTGTCATAAAGGAAGAGCTTATTTGCCGATCGATGTACTTATCTGTATTTTTTCAGGCTTGAGCTAAAACTATAAATTATTTCAATAAATCAGGTTCTCACCAAGCTCGGGGAAACATGTAATCAATAACACTATTCGTAGTTTACTCCTACGCGGAGTAGCAAAAGCCAAAAGTCAATGCGTACACTTTTATCAATTATGTTACTGGTAACATATGTTATTTTGGTACAGGAATGTTGATATTTCGTCCCACAAGACCCATTGTCGTGTAAGTAGGGTTAGGCATCGATCGTGCGGCACAGTTATTGTCGTACTTATCGTTTTTCCTGAGTCACGTATGCTCCAGGGTACACTCTGGGGACAGAATTAGCTATTCTGAACATTAGCGAAGCAAGCAATTTTTGTAATACTCAAGGACCGACAATAATTTATGATGCTTTTGATATTATTACACAATTTCTCGATCTATAATCCTGTTCCTCGAGGTCTACAAGGGTATTAAGTTTGGAAAGTCGGATCTTATTAGGTGATTGAAAGATGGAAAAGTTGAAGATGATTTCGCAAATTACACGGAGGTTTTGCTTTGTTTCCGAAGAAATATTTAGCAAAGTACTTGAAAAGTCTTTATTGTATTTTTTCCATTTCGAACATGATTGATAAGACGGAAGAATCTTTCGTAACTTATGAAATATATAAATTATATACGTTACAAATGTATTCTATAAATAAAATACAAATGTGTACCCATTTCTTTGAATATGGCAGCACTTCAAAGGAAAGTCCCGTTATGTCAAATATTACTTACGTTAAAGGTTATTTTTAATGTTAGTTCTGACTATGTTCAACCATTGTCAGTAAGAATTTTATTTCTACACTTTTGTATATTTTGTAACTTTGAAATGAATGCATAATTTAGGTACCCAATATTCTTAAACCCATTTTTCTTTGCAAACATTTTGTGGATTTTCTATTGTAATTTATTCATTTCCATCAGTCAGAGTTAAAAGTCAAATCCCCAATCTTTTTTCATCAACATCATTTACATATTTAAAACAACTTCGAAAACTAGGAACCATTAATCTGACACGGAACAATGGCATCCAATCCCATTGGTAAGTCTATCTCAGTCGGGATTCGTCCATTTCAAATTAGTTTAACTTGGATGGCTTGTTTATTTTTCATTTATCTGAGGCACGGAAAGGGGAACTTTTACGTCCTAGCTTCGTTGTTTCAACGTGAACTAATTGATAGGTGCAGTTCCCTGACATTATTTCCACCAATCAGAATACAAAATAAACAATAGATACTAGTTCGTAGGAGTTTGTTGTTATGAATAGTTTGATTAACGGAGTTATTGGAAAATATTATATCCGAAATACTAAAATCGTTGTATGGTGATTTTAATCTGTATGTGACATAACATGGCGCCTGTGTTAATCTTAGCAGTGACTACCAAAGGTGGCATGACAATTATAATGTACGTTATGCACAGTTTCGTGAGCGCATCCCGGTGCGCCTCATGCATCGGTGAGTCAGCCCGCGCGGCGTGGTACCGCCACTCAGACGGGTGGCGCGGTGCCCCTCCTCCTGGCCCTCGCCGCTCCCCCTGGGACTCCCTTCCCAGTCTCCGCCATGAAGGCAGCCTTAACGACTCCGGCTACAGGAGCAACAGGGCTGACAGCTTCGAGCAAAGGTATGATGTACTTACGTCTACGTTGTTATTTCAGATATTTTAGTAGGAAAACAGTAACAGTTATCGACGGTGACTGGTATAACGGTTTTATGTCGATACATTTTGCTAAAAGACGTCTAATTTGGATTATTAAGCCACCTGAAGGGTCTCTCTAGCAAACTTCATAAATTTAATGAGAAAAATACAATGAACGATCGATACAATAAAAGTACAAGGTGCAAACTTTGACAGATTTTAGTCGGATCGATTACCGTGTGAGGCAAGCATATTTAAAAAAAAAACATTAAATGAAGTTTTGTTTCTTTACAAAAATAAAGTAATGTTTTCTTTGAGTAAAATTTTCGATCTTAAGTATTAAGAGTACTTCCCCTTCAGGTGGCATTACAAAATTCCACCTTGTATAGTATACCTATATAATATTCTTGTCCAAATGAGAATTATCAGAATATACCAGATACACAACTTAATAAGATACAATTAAACACACTACAATGCATACGTACAACAAACAAACATAATTTATGAAATAGGAAAAATGCTCGAAGTATTTTTGAGCTACCACGAGACATAAGTACTTTCCAGTTAAAAATTAACGTTAATAATTAATAGTGACGTTGTTTTAAAATAAACAAATTGTAAAATCGCAAACCATGAGTTATTTATTAAACAAAGACGATACGATCTGGTTTGACATTAAATACTTATTTTAACAATTTATGTCACTGGAGAAGATTGGCAGTGAAACGAAAATCCAAATGAAGTTCTCATTACTACCTGTCTCTCGAAACCCGACCCGAAATGGAATGAACGGATTTTGATTCCCATTGACAAGTTCATTTTTAATACTTTATTCATTAGTAGCGATGGAAAAATGTGAAGAATTCGATACAACTAGCTTTAATTCGTTTTCAAAGTAAAATTAATCGGTCCATTCGGTTCTGTATCTACATATCGACGACATTTTGAAATGCCAATACATTCTCTGTTTTGATCAAATACCTATTTAGTTCAAATAATTAAAATAGTTCTGTCGGGTTTGTCTCATATTTAAATACGTTGTCTGTCAACATAAAATAATGAAAAGTTGAATTGAATCTACATAGATTTATGGATTACCCATTTCAAAGGAGTAAAACGTGTACGTAATAGAATTTCGAATCAAGTGACATCAAATTAGAAGATTATTAAAAGGAATATTTTCTCTCAATCGTATTTTATTTTTTGTCGAAAATCAGAAGGTACCTATGAAACCAATGAAACTGCTACTGCTACCTATGAAAAACCTAATAAGACCACATTCTCATCGCGCAAAATTGTAATACCAATGCGAAATCCTTCAGGACACACCGTCGTATTGCAATTTGCAAAGGAACTGATTACTCAAAAAATGGAAATTTCATTATTTTGTGAGATCCCGGCGTTGACCTAAAAACAAAATTAAGTTAACTCCCAAAGGAACTGAATTTGACTTATTTACGAAGACACATTTAACGTTCCATAGAAAAAGTTTAAATAATATTATAACTCCGTCAACAAAGTTTAAAATAAATATTTATTTTTCTTAAGATCGAACAGGTAAAAACGCGAAAAATGTAACTATTTGAAAGACATTTTCTAAATTCTCACGAGATGACAAAAATTGAAAAGTTTACCGAAAAGGTATTTCGAAAGGTATTTCCTGTATCTTCTTAGAACCGTCCCCAGTACTCCTGGGAATTCATTCCACCTGATGATGCATTCCTACGTTTAGCTATTTTCGACATCTCGCGCAATAGTATTTTTGGCATGTCGATAAGTTGACGGTGATGTGAATATGTAAGGCACTTACATGTATCTAAACATTGACAATAGAATCTGTTCTTTTATTTCCGTTTAAATTTCAACCCTAAGGCAAAGTCAAACAGAAATCCTTTAATCAAGTCAAGTTAAGAAAGGGTAAATATTTAGCTTCTGTTACAGAGGCGTGTTCGACCGTCAAGACAGTGTTCGTTCGGAATATACAAGCGATCGTGAATCAACCCGATATGGAATTGTTCAGCAAGCTTCGATTGACAGCACCGACTCCAGGATCTGCTACTTGACATCGAGTGAGGTAAGTCTTAAAGAACTGACATCAACATGAATTTAAAGAATCTTATACTTTTACACCTGCATTTTTAAAGGAATGAACAGAATATATAAAGAAATGACAACAAATACACAACACTTACACATACAAAGTAAAAAAATACTCCTAAATTGTTTTAGTTTAAGTAAAAGAGACAAAGCTAGGGGTTATATTAGTGAGGGAATACACGTAAACTATGAATTTCGCATTACTGTTGAATCCTTTCCAAAATTGTCCCTGATCTAATTAGAATTCTATGAAGTACTCTAATACCCGGTTTACCAAATCTATCCACGTATTTTGAAGCAAAAGGCAAATCGATTTACCAAGGCAGCTTCCAAACACAGGTATTCATTTCACTCTCAAGTAAGGTCGAGGAAACCAAATGGAAATAATTAAAATACATCACTTACTTAAACCCCGCATTATGATTATCCATATTTAGCGCTTATCGCCGCACCGTTGATCAAAGGCCTTCCACTACTTGTACTTTCAAGTTGCTACCTTTTGCGAGATCTACATTATCCTCTTCAGAACATAAATGAAGAAAACGTGTTTTCTGTTTAGGCAGGTAGGTACCTAAATTAATGACGTAACTCGTGGTTTCAAACGTTTAGTAGCAATATGCAAATAAAGTAAAGAAAAATATGACTCTTATTTTTTGAACCCTTTTTGGGACACAATAATATTATGTTTTCCCAATTATGTTAATAGCCAAATGCAATAGACTGTGAGAGATAAATTTGGACATCAAATCGGAAACCGAACCACAATAAATTCTGCGACAGTTACGTAGGTAAACAAGAAAGCAAGGAAAAATATATTTTCTTTGCATTAATAAGTGTTACATGAAGATTATGACGATATTAGCCTTTAATTCCTATAAATTGTAAATGAACGTACTTCCGAGCTTTAATAATCTCACATCAGTGGCCAATCTATATGCAAAGTAGGCACCTGGCCTACTGGTCTTTGAATTAATTTTATGTTTTTTGTGTCATTATGTACATAATGAAGTAGTACTAACTTATTTCACCATGTTGTTCCTGATGAACAAGCTTAATAAACTTAAGTTAGGAGCCTAATAAGTTTTGCTTGTGGTGCTAAAAATACGCCTTCATTTATATCAATACAACGCGAATTACCATTACGCTGGCATCGCAGTATTCGCATTTACTTGTATTTTAATGGATATCTCGTACCTTTATAATGTCATCCAAGCAAAAAGAGAGAGACGAGTACTTTAGTTTAGTTAACTAATATATTATTGCAATGGTGTGTCACATTGAAATACAGTTCATTAGTGACTCGATATTAGTTGACATTTAATTTAATTATCTAGCGTTATCTAGTCCTTGGATTCATAGGTTATTTATAGCATAGTTCACAAATGAAAAAAAAAATAGTGACGGCCGACGGTCCGGAGAAGCGAGGTCTGGGATGGTTCGCCCGCCCTCGGAAGCAATCGGCGGAGCCTGCGCGGCAGGCGCGCTGCGCACTCAACTCCTCCAATCGTATCCTGAACGTAGTATTAAAAATATTATTTTGAGGTTAACTTCTCTCACTTATATTACAATGAATTGAAGCTAATCGTGAGTTTCAAAAACGTAAATTTGTTACAAATTAGACGTGTCGAATGTCGCGTAAGAGAACATTGAACCGAAAATTGAGACGTTTCGTGTGTGTAAATACAAAGCTTTTACTGTCAAGTGCACGGACAAAGAAGAGTTGCGTCGTCCTCGCTATTGCTACGTTTAACTGGGATACTCAGTTGTAACTCTTATGGTTGTTATAGATAAAGTATAAATCGAATGAAACTGTTGTGAAGATACGTATATTATCTATAAACATATCCTGCGTGTTGAAGTGAAGTCAATTCCAAGGCCTACGTATGAGTGAATTGTTGACATATAAATGTTCCATTTCCACTAACAATAAGAAGATATTTGATATAATTAAATATATTACTTGTTACTACTTAAGTAGAGTTCCTGCCTGTATATCGCTTCATCCACCTGTGATATTTCGTCTTCGTAATTAATATTAACCTCTGTGTGTAGGTGTCATCTAAAACTGCCAATTTTAAGTAAATATTTTACTGTAACTCATAGAGTGTTCAATGTTAGTTGTTTATACTGTAGAATCAATAATTGAAGTTACAGTGACGTTATTCCTAATATAATTCCAATACGTAAATATTTACTGTTGTTAGACATAGTATAAAAACTAATAAATATAAACAAAAATCGACATAGGTACTTGAAAAAATCGCGTAGCGACATTCCATACATAAATATTATGTATGTTTAAACGATAAACTTGCATGGGGGCCATCAAATCTAAGAATGCAGTATTTTTAAAGGTATTGTGTTTATCATAATTAAAAAATATTCTTGATAGATTGCTTCAAAAACTTAAAATTATACTTATGAAAATAAGATGTATTATAATTGAATCATTTATTAAATCACGACTATACATTTCTTTAAACAAATTTGCGTACCGCAGTTCCATAATTTAAAAACGAAACGACACAGGTAATTTAAATTGTGAATCCTGCCTTTTACAGCTAGTCAAATTGAGTTTTCAATTTATTACTTGTTTTCGCTTTTAACGTTGTCCTTGGTAGGTGGTGTTCCTGCAAAAGGCAAGTTTATTTTAGGTTGTTTGTTGAGCGCCTCCCTCTCTATTTCACTGTAATGTTATACTGAAGGCCTAATGTTTATTCTTGAACGCGGCCACGAAGGTACGGCCACTGTAAATTGTGTCAAGGTCGAGTTTCTATTGATCTCCTTCTTTCGCAGCGAGGCTCGACCCGTCCCATGTGTTTTCCGGTTTATACATTCTGATGTGTATAATTATTTCAAGACCCAGCGGACAAATTGAATATAAAAAGGGTTAGATACTTGGAAGTGATTTTTTATTGTATACGATTTCTTTTATTTTCTTCCCAATGTTCATAATGTTCTTTTTTATTGCTTCGTTTATTTTTATTTTTTTGAGTTGTGTTTGGGTCTATAAAGTTATATGTGAAACTGTTCTGTCTGAAAGATATTTTACGACCTATAACGATTTATGGTTAATAATCGAGCCTCTACTTGCCGTCTCCAGTTACCTCACAGATTGAATGGTCTCTAGCGTGACTGCTGGTCAAGGAATCTCAAGTTCGATTCCCAGGAGCAAAGTGTGACGTAACATGCTACTGTGGTTTTTTAGATATTTCGAAAAATGCTAGTAAGAGCACGGTCTATGAAATTGTGCCTTGTGTTCAGAAATAGGCTCACTCTCACTTCACTATTACATGGGATGGGACTTATAAAGTCACACCAAAGTAGCAAGAGAGGCGGCTCTATTTTTAGTATGTAGATAGATAAATATAAACGTAATTGTACTGGTGTACGAGTAGTAAGTAGTACTTGCAAGTAAGTAATTTTACAATTTATAAAGAAATATCACACACTTGCAGATTGTACTTTTGCCTCTCTTCAGAGATTAAAAGAAGTGACGCTATATAATAGAGTCCATAGTCTATTTAACTGATCTTTAATAATGCCACGGCTGAACACTGATTTAACTTTATGTAAATCACTTTTAATACAGTACAAATTAAATCATTTCGTTTCACAAAATTTCAATTACTTAAAATGTAAGTAGGTACTTTATAAATAGACCTATAAGTTTTGTTTTAAAATGAACTAAACAACATTTAAGTAATTAGGGCTTATATTATTTATAAGCCAGACAGAAGTTTTGAAGATAATTTTAGGCATTTAAATGTTCTACTATAAAACCTAATTAACGACAGCCCTGAAATAATTAATAAGTTTTCAATAACTGACTTATATTCGAATTCATATAAATATTTGGGTCTGAATTACTTATTAAGAAGTCATCCAAGGTAACTGCAAAACCATTTACCTCCATATTACGTCTAATACAAGCTTTATTATTTTCTGTTTTAAAGCTTTTGGTTTAGAGTGTAGGTTATTTTAGCTTGGCAATTCTAGCTTATGAGACACCTTCATTTAAGGTTATAAATTCTCCCATGTAGGTATTTGAGGAAACGAAGATGTTTTTAATATAGATAGCACAAAGTATTTCATAAATATATGTTACCAAGTTACAAATAATCCCCTTACACAAAATACCTATCAGAATAACGACCATCCTATTAGTAATGAGCAGAAGACACGTAATATATTAAATCTTATTTTACTATATAAAGAATTAAACAGTAATTACATTGCCCTTAAATGGAACAAATGCATTTAATCTAGGTATACTAATACTAATACTAATACTAATACTAATACTAATACTAATACTAATACTAATACTAATACTAATACTAATACTAATACTAATACTAATAATAATCTATACTAATATTATAAAGAGGAAAGATTTGTACCTATTTTTGTATGTTTGTAATGAATAGGCTAAAAAGTACTGGCCCTATTTAAAAAAATCTTTCACCAATAGAATGCTACATTCTTCCAATTTGACATAGGCTACATTTCAATTTGAAAAAAATTAGGGATCCTTGGTAAAATTTGAACAATGTAACCGAACGTGTAGAAAAATGAGGCTTAAAACGTCTTTCGTCGAATCCACTGCCGAAACTATTGGCGATAGAACAAAATAATGTACAACAATATTGGACAACATCATAATGTCTACAAAAAACTCCGCGGTAGCATATGTCCAACTATTGTAGTTATGTCACTACAACAATCCAAATTTCCAAAAATAAATAATTGTCTACCCCGTGCGAAGCCGGGACGGGCTGCTAGTTATGTTTTAATAAATAAAAAAAAAAAATAGTTATGCTATATTGCTCGTTATGTTATGAAGTTGTAATATTTTAATAAATCTGATAATATTTTTTTGCTTCGCTCTGAACATGTTCTGATACACAGTATGATAAGTGTTGAAAATTAATTTTGTCTATTAATAATTAAACGAAATATAAATTAATACTATAA